TCCGCTTTGACGACTACCACCCTTACTAATTCACCTTTCAGAATTGTTTGTTTTGTATATGCTTCAGTCGGGAAAATATCCTTAAATGTCCGAAACTTTAAAATTTGTTCATTTAAATATAAGATCATTATTCAAAAGGTTTGATTTGCTCTCGGAATATATTTCGAATGAAAATATTGATATATTTGGTGTCACTGAAACTTGGCTCTCCTCAATAATTAACTCTGTTACCATTGGAATTAACAATTATCTTTTAGTTCGCGCCGACATAATTGGCAGAGGGAGTGGCGTTGCTTTCTGCATAAATAACTCTATTAAATTCAAAACACTCTTTAGTCATATAAGTTCTCATCTTGAATAGTTGTGGATCTCAACAACCCACAGATGTAAAACTCTCGTTTTTGGAGTATTATACCGGTCCCCTTCAGCTGATTCAATCCAATGTTTAAACGAACTCGAAGACAGCATGGCCAACCTACTTGCTTCATGTGATTTTTTGCTGGCTGCCGGCGATCTTAATATCAACCTGTTAACTCACGTCCGGCGTTCTCAACTCCTTACAGATTTCATAAATTCGTTCTATCTTCATCAGCTTATACAGAAGCCTTCCCGAATAACTGCTCACTCTCAATCCCTTATTGACATCGTCCTTGCCTCTGATAAGGAAAGAATATTAGATGTGGATGTGTATGATATTCAGGGAATTTCAGACCATCTGTCAGTGATGTGCAGAATTAATGCTTCTGTTTCTTCTAGAAGAGTTATTCTGACCTAAGACCAATTACAATTCTACCGTATCTCTCTAAAGTAGTGGAATCTAGTCTGAAAAATCAGATTTAATGAGTACGTCAATGAAAATCATATTATAACATCTGTACAATCAGGATTCAGACCTCAGCATAGTACCACCACGGCTCTTCTGTCAATTACTGACGATATTATTCAAGTTGCAGATGAACAGAATTGGACCTGTTTAATACTTCAAGATTACAGCAAGGCATTTGACACTCTAGAGTCTAGATCATGAGATTTTGTGTGACAAACTTGTCTACTTCGGTTTTTCTCGGAAAGCTTAGGAGTTTTCTCTTAGAAAACTATCTGAAGAATCGTACTCAAAGAGTTGTTGTGGATGAAGTTATTTCAGATGCTCTGCCGGTATCAAAGGGAGTACCACAAGGATCTATCTTAGGGACCTTGCTTTTTAGCTTGTATATTTGTGACTTTTATCTGTCCGTGAAAAAATGCAATATACATCCTTAGCAGACAACACGCAGTTATATTTATCTTTTTCGTCTGGAGAGTCTACATCTGCTCTGTCGCATATTAATAACGATCTCCAAGCCATATTTGACATTTCTACTGCCCATAAGCTCAATTCTGACAAATCCGCAATAATAATGTTCGGAGCTAAGAAGAACAGAGAGCTCACCAACTCTACCTTTCAAGTTCACATCGAAAACGATATACTTCCCTCCGTGGACGAGATAAAAAATTTAGGATTGTGGTTTGATCTGGATCTTCGCTTTACTAAACATGTCAGCTATCTGAACCAATCTTATAACGTTCTCAGACAGCTTTTTCCTAATCGTGATTTGCTCAACAGAAACTTAAAACTTAAACTATGCGAGTCTCTGATAATGTCAAAAATTTCCTATTGCGACAGTATTTATGGACCTGTTTCAAAACAATCGGATGCTCTCCGACTACAGCGTATTCAGAATAGCTGTCTACGTTTCTTGTTTGGTATTCGGAAATATGACCATATATCCACAGCAATGCAACAATCAGGATAGTTTAATGTTGAGAAACTCAGAACTCTACACCTTCTTACCAACACACATAAAATTTTGATAACTCGACAACCTGATTACTTACTGAAGAAGCTTAACACATTCTCTACGATTAACAGCTTTACTACAAGGAACAGTTCAGTTCTAGTCATCCCCAAACACAACTCTTCCATCTTCACCCGCTGCTTCTCGTATAATGCACTCAAATATTATAATCAACTACTCTGCGAATTTCGATCATACCCCATCATAAACTTTAAAAAAGACTTATTTATCTCATTAGGCTCTTGTCCGTTCCCGACCTTGGCATTTCTAAAATGAATTTTCTAAAGTAAAGCAATAACTAAAATTTTTTGATATTGTTAACTCGACTTGTGTTCATATTATTTATTTATAGTTTTTCCGAGGTTGAGTTGAAAAACAACCTTGGCTGATACTTCGCCCATTCACCATATACTGGAAGTTTTTTTTTTGTTTTTGTTATTGTTCCTGCATACTGTTTTATTTTATTTTTTATTATATTCATATACTGCGTGTTCCGTTTAAACATTTAACTTTGGTTGTGTCTCAAACTATGACTATTGTTCACATTCTTTATTGCAATAAAATCATTTTTTCTTTTATTATTTCCCCAAAGGGTGAGCTGGTCAGGCCCGATCTCTGAAGATCCGACGCAGTCGGAAAGGCACACCAGCATCATCTACCAATGAACACATTCCACACCGTAGAGTATGTGATCATTGGGTCCGACAATAATGTGTCCTGAGCAGAGGCAATGAGCCAACAATGACAGTCTTCCGCATTAGGCCAAGATTTCTGCCTTCGTGGGGCAAGCCAGCATAATCTTCAGATTCGAGAGTAGAGAGGACATCATTCCACCAAGGACAACAATAATCAGAACAACCATTTCAACAGAGCGAACTGGATAGAGTTGACGGAGTCCGAAGAGAAATTCTCGATATTGTATACGTTTCTTTCTCCTTCTTTTTGGACGATATTTGTCTCAACGGGAGCTGAAAACTCCACGACGAATATCGTTTTGCTCTGATAGTCTAGAACAGTGATTCAAGAAGTGGTCCATGAGAGACTTGACGGGGGTTAACAATGGCGTGACCAAAAAATGGGAGTGCACAACTCGTAAGCGAGGGTCCACGAAAATTTATTTGGTTTCGATAGTGAATAACTAAAATGTTGGCTTGACTTCACCTATCAATGTTGTAAATAATATTTCAAGAAGCTTGGCAACTGTTACATAAAAACAAATTCCATATTCAGTACGTGTCGAGACTTGCAAAGCGTCACCGCCGCCCGCAACGCTTGTTTAGACGTGCAAAGGGAGGGAACGAAATAGAACTTATTTTGATTCTTCACCAATATAAATATTAATATTTTAGTTTCACCACACCGAATACGGAGTTTTCTTAATAAAATAAGAGAACTTCTTGGGTTCTTGTGCGGTGAGTAGATGTCAAAAAATAAAGTTGAATAGAATAACATTTTTGATTGACATCCATTCACAGTGCAATAATTTATCAACCAATCAAGTCTCACTTCTTATTCGAAAACTGTAAATGCGTAGTTGGAACGCAGCCGCAACGCAAATTTCCATAGAGCTAACCTCCATATTTTCTGTTTCGTTTTGGGAATATGGTAAAATGGAGGTGCAGGAGGTCCACCGGAACCAGCAAAATTATTTTGAAACAGGTCTATGATAAAAAAAGTTTGGGAACCTCTGGTCTTGAAGAACTACATCAGGATTATTACCTTGTATCATCGGGGAATATGTAGTTCCAATTGATCCGCAGGAGGTCCACCGGAACTAGCAAAATAATTTTGAAACAGGTCTATGATAAAAAAAAGTTTGGGAACCTCTGGTCTTGAAGAACTACATCAGGCTTATTACCTTGTATCATCGGGGAATATGTAGTTCCAATTGATCCGCAGGAGGTCAACCGGAACTAGCAAAATAATTTCAAAACAGGTCTATGATAAAAAAAGTTTGGGAACCTCTGGTCTAGAAGAACTACATCAGGCTCATTACTTCGTATGAGCGGGAAATGTGTAGTTCCAATTGATTCGCAGGAGGTCCACCGGAACCAGCTGAATAATTTTGAAACAGGTCTATGATAAAAAAAGTTTAGGAACCTCTGGTCTAGAAGAACTACATCAGGCTCATTACCTTGTATGAGTGGAGCATGTGTAGTTCCAATTGATCCGCAGGGGGTCCACCGGAACCAGCAAAATCATTTTGAAACAGGTCTACGATAAAAAAAAATTTGGGAACCTCTGGTTTAGAAGAACTAAATCACACGCATTACCTTGTATGAGCGGGAAATGTGTAGTTCCAATTGATCCAATATTTCTCATTCACAACGGATTCAATATCCTCCGGAGCGAAGCGGACTCATAATGGCCTCGCAGGTCATGATGAATCCCCGTTTCCTTCCAGTTTCCTTTCCTGTTTTCCTCATGGTAGATTTAAACTCCTGATAACTTTACAGGCTCCATCCAGTACTATTCTGTCAATACTACGAATATATGAAATGGAAACTCCTATGGAAATGCATCACTTTTTGGATATTTACGTCGAATTGATATAGCTACTCCCGAGTCTACTTCACGAATAAAATGAGATTGGAATGGCAAACATAATCGTAGCAGCAACTTTATTCAGTTCCGATGACCTGATCTGTAGGAATTTACGCTGATAATTGCCGCGGAGAGAGTTCTTCATTGCTGTTACCTACTGTGAATGGCATTGTTCGGTCGCGAGGTGAGTAAACATCACTCTGGCATCCAGATGATGTAGGATGCTTTTTTCATATCCAGTAACTCTTCTCTTCTCTGCTCAAAATCAAAACAGTATTGAATAAAAAAAAAATTACATCTGTCAAACGAGTTATGAAAGGACCCCTCGGAAAAAACTTAAGGCGCTCTATAGTAGGTATACTTTGTCAGACCTAATTATTATCTTCTTCAAAATTTAAAATGGGGGAACATTTTACATCCGCACAGGATGCCCATTCTTCAAGGATTTTATTTTGAGAGAATCTAGAATTCGAACAACTGTTTTAATCAAAATTTAGAGGCAGTTCACAATTACTCTAGTTTCATCTATATTTTAGACTCGAATTTCTTCGACTTTATCTCTTACACGTAGATCTATTATCGCAATGAAAAATTGAAATCGATTCCATGCAATCTACTTACATAATTCTGAGCGAGGTCAGGATGGTTGGTCTGGATGCCGTCGTCCAAAATCGAAACTACCACCCCCTTTCCGGTGTATCCTTTCTGCCAGGCTGGCGCCAAGTTCATGTCCAATCCATCTTTGGCACCACCATTCTGAAAAATCGTTTCGGAACGTTACAACTCACATTATCAGTCAGCGGCGGAGTGTAGTTACTTTGAAGGATATTTAACAATACCGGGTGACAACGAAATAATGGTTAAAGGCGTTATTCAGTTGTTTGTGAGAAAAAATACTTTGAAATATTATACATCTTTAATGAGAATAAAATAAATCATAATGAATTCAAATAATGAGCATAATGAAAAATTAACTGTCATTGGTGCTCTTCTGTTGATAAAAATTTATATACGCCCTCATCCCTGCAAGAAACTTCAATGAAGCGCGACACACAGAAGAATCGTTGTATTTGTGTTACGTGGGAGCAAAAGGGTGTCTGTTAAGAGTGTCAGTAAGCCGTATAATGTCCACTGTAGGTGTATTTTCAGTGTGATCATAGTTATAGAAACGAAATCCAAGAAATAAGTTAGAAAGTCAAAATTTATGAGAATAAACTGTAAACGATACATGCGAACGGATTTCATGGAGTCTGAGCGCGCTCCGCCGAGAAAGTATAAAAAATATACAGCTCCGCGTAACCGATAATCGAATAGAGAGATCTCTTTATGATAAAAGTGGTTGAATTGACTGAATACTTCACACATTCCTTTACGGTGTTTGCTCCAATATTATCTAACCCAAGAGCTTCGTTTAATTTCAATTCCACAATCTTCACTTCAGTTTAATTTGTTTGGGTGCGTATAGGAGAATTTCGAATTAATCATTATTGTACATTCAGACTTTTTATCAGTGGTTATTTGCTCTGCTAGATGCAGCATAGACATCGATGACAAACTTATTAAGGTGTCCAGCTATAGATTTTTCATCTTGAATGATACCAACCTCATATTTTATTTCCAATTTTTGGTGGTAGCTTCTTATGGAAGAGTAAACCGCTTCATTACGTAACTCATAACGGCGCCAGTCTGTCTGGCTTCCCTTTCTCTCACGCATACGGCATTGGCAGGTAGGCTCACCCTCTCTTTTCATGACTCGGTGTTTAGTGTGCGATAGATATATACTGTTGACAGTGAGCATATTACATAAAACTGTCACCGCAGAAGATGAATATACAAATATGCATATTACTTTTGCGATTACTGAATATTCTCTATTCATTGTAATACTGAATAATTGTAAGCAATATATATTCAAAAAACATTGAATCTTTGAATTCACTTTCGAAACAAAAACACGCAACGGCTCTATGGGTGATCAGCAGAATGGAAGTGTAATCTTATAACACAAGTTATTCC